TTAAATTCCACATGAGTGAAATCATATAATTGTCTTTATGACTTATTTCACTTAGCATAATACCCTCTAGTTGCATCCACATCATTGCAAATGACAATATTTCATTTTAATGGCTGAGCAGTATTCCATTGGATATATATATACCACATCTTCTTTATCCATTCATCCATCAAAGGACATCATGGCTCCTTCCACAGTTTGGCTATTGTGGACATTGCTGCTATGAACATTGGGGTGCAGGTGCCCCTTCAAATCACTACATTTGTACCTTTGAGGTAAATACCCAGTAGTGCGATTGCTGGGTCGTAGAGTAGCTCTATTTTTAACTTCTTGAGGAAACTCCACACTTTTCCAGAGTTGGTAACTTCTAGAGTGGCTGCGCAAGTTTGCATTCCCACCAGCAGTGTGAGAGGGTTCCCCTTTCTCCACATCCTTGCCAACATTTGTTGTTTCCTGACTTGATAATTTTAGCCATTCTGACTGGTGTGAGGTGGTATCTCATTGTGGTTTGATTTGTATTTCCCTGATGCCAAGTGATGTGGAGCATTTTTTCATGGGTTTTGTTGGCCATTTGTATGTCTTCTTTGGAGAAATGTCTGTTCACTATGATGTAATTTTTGTCTTAGATGACCTCCAGGTAATCAGAGATTTTGGTTTGGAAGATAAAAATCCAAGAAAATAAAAACATGAGAAAGAGACCAGATTGACTTTAAAATTTAAGCTTAATCATTTAAAGATTAAGTGATTAAATCAAGTGTAAATGATTAGATTACAGTGTAAGCCATTAGTTTAGATTGTACTAAATTCCAATGCAGAGATGTGCCAGGTACTCTGTGATTTCATGTCAACAATGAAGGCCATGGTGCCAGCTTTCCAGAGAAGTTGTCTCAATAGGGGACCTGAAAAGCACACAGCTCTACAGAGTCCGGTTCTAGGAGGGTTAACAAATTGTCCTGGCAGCACAGGGTAGAGGAATTATTGTCTTGGGGACCAAAGGAAAAGTTCTGATAGGAAAAAAAGGGGACCACCTGGGGGACATCTGTCAATGGACCCCAGTCAGGTTTTATAATTATTTATCAGAGGTTGTTAGAGGTGCAAGAGCTGTCACTCACAAAGCAAATCTTGTCCAGGCCTTTATATATGGAGAATCAAGGACAAAACGAGTTGGAAAATATTAAACAGATACCAAAACCTCAAATCTCATTGGGAAAATATATGTATTTCAATTTATATTTCTGAGCTGTCATTATGACTCCTCTTCATGAATTTCAAAATTATTTAAAATTTTTTTAATTATTTATTTATGATAGTCATACAGAGAGAGAGAGGCAGAGACAAGGCAGAGACATAGGCAGAGGGAGAAGCAGGCTCCATGCACCGGGAGCCCGACGTGGGATTCGATCCCAGGTCTCCAGGATCATGCCCTGGGCCAAAGGCAGGCGCCAAACTGCTGCGCCACCCAGGGATCCCCTCAAAATTATTTTAAATGATCTTTTATATACTTGGATTTTTTTCTTGAAATGTGCAGTAAAGTCAGATGACAATAAGGGATTTTTTTTCTAGTCTCTCGTTGGCTTTAACACTGAAGGGGGCATTGATCTCATACAAAGGGACAAAGTATAGCCAAATTCCATTTCAGCCTAAGTACAATGTGATTACTTAGCAAATATGTTATTCCTCAATCAGCTTGGACCTACATTACCGCAAGAGCAGAAATTTTGGTAAAGGTGAAGGTAAGAGAGCCATTATTAATGTTGAAGTAAGAGGATGATTTCTTTTCTTTTTTTTTTTTTAAGAGGATGATTTCTAAAGGAGAAGCTTCTCCACCTGCAATATGGGGTCCCTGTAGTGGACAGTCCAATTTGCTGCCCAGAATACACACCCTGAGACAGTTTGACTTTCTCATGAGGGGAAACAAATTCTTTGCACATGCCATGATCCTACTCATGGCTGGTTCCCACTCCCGGGGGTGTCCTGAGGTGAACCCAGCAGAGTCCAGGGCACAGAGGGAGAAACTCAACTCTTGACATGCTTTCTTGGAATCTGGTTGATGCACCCACATGGCACATTCCTCAGATCACCTGAAATGATGAGGTGAGTGTTGTCTGTGCCCCATGCAGTTTCGTCTCCACTGGGGGGATAACAGAAGTACTCTCATGACCGGGCAGACTCCGGGGCCCAAACAGCCCCTTTGCACTTTATCTGGTTTATTATATGTCTTTCTGTAGCTGAGAAAACTTTCCCACGAAAATCTTTCCTACTCTGGAACTAGGACTAAGTCAATGGTTCACATTAACATGGATCCTGCTTCACTGTAGTTAACTACCTGGTAAATGTGTTAGGACAAAGGAAAGAAGCAACACAAAATATAGGAGACAGAATCATGTTTGAAATGTTGTATTTTGGTGTTCCCTCCATATTGCCCAATCCCCCATTTCCCAAACCAACCACTCAACCACAAAGTACAATTATAGGGATTTCTTTTTTCCCTGTGAGTCTAAGAAAAAAAGATTATGTCAAGTATCTTGTGAGAAAATGAAGAGCAGGGACATCTGGGTGGCTCAGTGGTTGAGCGTCTGCCTTCAGCTCAGGGCGTAATCCTGGAGTCCCAGGATCAAGTCCTGCATCGGGCTCCCTGCAAGGAGCCTGCTTCTCCCTCTGCCTGTATCTCTGCCTCTGTGTGTGTGTTTGTGTGTGTGTCATGAATAAATAAATAAAATCTCTAAAAAAGAGAGAGAAAACGAAGAGCAGACATAGAGGCCTTGCTCCTGTCTACATGGGACACCCTCAGGCTCGGGCCCAGGAGGGATGGCAGTAACAAGGCACCAGTTTAGACCTAGGGAGGTGGGAAAGCACAGATGGTAAACCTTGATGGGGCATTGCGCCCCTGCTTGGGATGAGCCGTGATAGGATCTCCAGCCAATGCCAGCAAGGGATTGCTGTGGAAACAATGAAATTAACGATATTGAACACAATCACTTAGGTGCAACCTAAAGCCTCCCTACCCCGGCCTTCCCCAGTTTTTCATCCTGCCCCTTAATCTGAGATTACCCATGAGTCCTCTGAACCCATGAGAAACAGGTTATGCACGTTTGAAAAGATGTGTCTCATCGTATCATATCCCATCTAGGTTGTGATGAAAGGAAGATATTAACACTGTAAAACATCTTTAATCTTTGATTCTCTAACATAAAAAAGGACCTTCAGCGGCTGACTCATCAGGGATCAGTTTTGGGTTTGTTTCCTGAACTTGTAAGCAGAGGTCCTCACGTTTGTGGAGAAAACACTTTTGAAGAAGAGACCGTGGTTTAGTAAGGTGATTTTTAGGAGAGACTTCTGAGTAGGCTTCAACAATTTTCTGGATCAAAATGGTTTCACTGTCATGATCAAAGCTACTTGAAGTTAGCCTCAATTTGTGTGCAAGGATTACTAATGACACATTTTTTAAAAAATTTTAGCCTTGATTCCAATTCTTATCACCCAGAGAGGGAATATTGGACATCTAATCTAGAATGATATTAGACAGCAATGTGTTCACATTAGTTTAAAAATAACACTTTCCAGATACAATTACCTCCTTTGTTTGTGGTAGCCTCTCTAATGTGTGAGAAAAATCCAGCATTAAATCCAACTCTGATTGGATTAGAGGGGATGTAGGATTAGGGAGGATGTGGGTGAGGTGGGCGGGGCGGGCGGGCGGGAACATCCCTAATAAAAGCTGCTCCTGGGTGATCTCGCTTCAGAACTGCTATCCCTGCCAGGGAAGACCTGGGGCCAGAGCAGGATTGCGGTGAGTCCAACCTCACAGGATTTCCTTTCTGTTTCTCAAAAGTCTACAAAGACCTGCAAATACAGAGAACAAATTGGTGGCTGCCAGAGGGGAGGGGGTAGGGAGTGGGCAAAAGGAGGTGAAGGCGTCCAGTTATCCAGTGAATCATGGGGAGGAAATGCACAGCACAGGGAATATAGTCAGTGACACTGTATGCGTGTTGTCTGGTGACGTATGGTAGGTCACTTGGGATGAGCACAGCATAACCTGCAGACTTGTGGAATCACTATGTTGCTCATCTGAAACTAAGGTAACATTGTGTGTCAACCACACTCAAATACACAAAAAACTAAGATTTCTACCAAGAGTGCAATCAGAAAGCAAGGTCTCAGCATACAGTAATTAATAAATTCAGGAGGTACCATCTGAGACCAACTGCATGCAGACACACTGTGTGCACCTAGGGGCATGGGGACCTCTGACAAGACCAGCAGGCAGAACTTTGGTTTTCAATAGCAGCCTGGAAGTTTAATGGTCTCCAATACTCTGAGTCAAAGCAGAACTTGGCCAACACAGAGGTAGCCAGTGAAGCTCCAGCCACAGACCTCCCACCTCCCATCATCTGCGTGGGTTCTGTCCTGTGCAGGCGGGAGTGCTGGGGGCGAGGGAGGAGAGGGTGGGGGAAGTGTTCCTGGCTCTAACCAGTGTGTCCAGGACAAATAGAAGCTGACCCACTATGTGATCATAAACTCCTTCTCTGGTGGCCTCATAAACAGACTTCAAGGAAACAAATCTAATTAATCTTAGCAAGCAAAAGGTAATCCTCTCACCATGTATTCAGTGTCTGAAAGTTCTCAATGAGATAGTTGACATTCTCTTTTCTTGCTGTGTCTTTGCCACCATCGAGAGTGCACCACACACTCATGGCACATTTCCGGTGCTTATAGCGGGATGTGGCTGGCGGCCCCCAGACAGGACAACCCAGGTACAGCACAAACCTCAGCACCTCACTTACAGCCTGGGGATGGATCGTGTCCTTCATCCCAACCAGCATTTTAAATATCAGAAGCCAAGGGCTATAAGTCCTATCTGTCTGTACTGATGCAGTGCCTTTGTTACCCAGGAGTAGTGACAGCAAATCACCACACACATAGAGGTGAAAATGGCCCAAGGCCTCCTATCCATCTGACTCAACGGGTCCCATATGCACATCTTTCCCTAGACCGTGGCCATGGCCGAACACTTTAAAGAAAGAAGTAGATGTCTTGTGTGCCTGACCTACCTGGAGACGCCCATGTACCTGAAATGTGGCTATGTCTGCTGCCTGCGCTGCATGGATTCACTGCAGAAGGAGCCCAACGGGCATGGTTTACTGTGCCCCTCCTGCTCCGTGGTCTCTCAGAAGGAGGACATGAGGCCCGGTACCCATCTTGGGAGGCTGGTTTCAAAGATCAAGGAGCTGGAGCCCCAGCTGAGAGCCACTCTACAGATGAACCCAAAGATGCGCAAGTTCCAAGGTACAGCCTTCCCCTGCCCCCTAAAGAGCCCTGGAAATCACAGCTTGCCTAAGTCTCCATTACATGAGGGCATGGGCTGAAATGTTTATCTGTGTAAGCCACAGTTGTTCTTACCTAGAAGTATAGGTAAGAACTTAAGAAAGAAAATAAGCTTCCTTCCATCCCAACCTGTGCCTAAATCACACCTCACAGCTCTGAGTTAGGGTGAATTCTCCCAGCTCAGCAGCACATCTCACACACTCTAGCCAGGATGCCAGGTGGGACCTCCCCAGCTCCCTGGAGGGAGCCATGTCTGTGCTCCTTCTGGTCCCTGCTCTCCTGTGATGGGTCCTGAGGAGGGGTGTGCCCCTTGGTGGGAAGGGGTGTGAGCAGCATGCTGGAGTGGGTATTGCAGTGAAGGACACGGACTGCTTTGTGTTCTAAGTGTACTTCTAGCTCCATGCAACTCACATTTGGGATGGTGAACCCTGTTCCGGAAACATGACAAGTCTTGACAAGTCCCCTATGATGGTCAGACGGTCTGGGCATCTTCCCAAGAGTTGTGTGTCAGGGTGCCAGGTGAAACAGTTGGTCTTTGGTGCAGAGGGTTTATTTCTGAGGCTGTGTTGGCTCCGTCCACTCATCTCCTTAGGAGAGCCTCCTGCTCAGAGTGAGCTGCAGAGGTAGGCAGCACACACATACATCCCCCACCCCTCTGCACACTGCTCTGCATCTATGTTGCTATCAGACCCCAGTACATCCCCACTCATGCCCACGGGGTCCCTTCCCCTGCCTGGACCATCCAGAGTTCACCCAGCTCCTCTCAGGAACCCTAGCCTTACTTCTCTGTGTGTTTGCAACCCCAGGAAGCAAAGGTCTGGGATGCATTTGTCTGTTAACATCAGGAAATGAGGATGGTAACTGGCAAGAAGAAAGGGGTGAAAAACTTCCATATTTAATGTTCTGCACTAAGTAAAATAGCTTCCATCTTTCACATATTCATCTGGTGCCTATATGTCCATGGAAACTGTGCTAGTTTGCAATATAATTTTGAGAACAAACAACAGTCATAGTCTCTTCATATTTGTTCTGTGACAAAGGAAGAAGCATCTTTAATCAAATAAAGAACTGAATGTGAAGGGGAGGGGTCCCCTTCCCCTGTGAATGTCCCTGGGAGGGGTCTAAGGGACTAGGTCTGATCATAATCATCCTCTTTACACATTCAACTTCATCAGGGGCCAGAGAAGTCTCCCCAGGGAAATTCTGATCAGGGAAGAGGCACAGGATGAAGAAGTGGAGGTGGACGAGACCTTTGGGCCTTTGCAGCAGACATGCAGTGCCATCCAGTGAGTGTTGTGTGCTTGCTGATTGGCTTGTTTTTCTTCCACAGTGGAGGTGACTCTGGATGTGGACACCGCCAACCACCACCTTATCATTTCTGAGGACCTGAAGAGTGTCCACTGTGGGTATTCCAAACAGAACCGGAGCGCCCGGCCTGAGAGATTCGACTATGCCATCTGTGTCCTGGGCTCCCCTGGCTTCCCCTCTGGCCGCCACTACTGGGAAGTGGACATGGGGACGAGCAAGGAATGGGATGTGGGTGTTTGCAGAGACTCTGCTAAGCGACAAGGGCCAATTCTACTGTCCTCAGAACTTGGCTTCTGGACAGTGGGCTTGAGGAATGGTGATCTCTTCCAAGCCAGCACCATGCCTGTGACTGTTCTCTCAGTAAGCCCTCGCTTACACCGATTAGGCATCTTCCTGGACATGAATTTTGGCACTGTTTCCTTTTATCACATTAGTGATGGATCCCATATTTTCACCTTCACTGGCATTCCTGCTGTGGAGCTGCTGCGTCCGTTTTTTGCTCCTGCGAATCCGTTCACGGATGGTCAAGGCTTCCTGAGAATCTGTCCTGTAATGAATCCAGGCATTGTTAGCTCTCCAGTGGATTCTGATACAGAACACTTCTAGAGAATTCCCGTGTGCTCAGAGCCGGAGCTGGGACCTTTCTTGCTTGTTACATGGACTGTACAAGGGGCAGCAGACAAACATGGAACAGTCAGAGAATCATGAACACTGAGATAAAGGAGAAGTAGATATCAAACATTAAGTATCACCACAGTAAATCTCCTTTGGGACTTCTCATATTTCTGTTCCAATGAATGGGCTCTGGATTTTCAGATCAATCTCCAAATGTTTTTACTTTCTGCAATATTAACTTAATGTGTGATGGAGGTTATAAACTTTAAAAATTGGGGATCCCTGGGTGGCACAGCGGTTTGGCACCTGCCTTTGGCCCAGGGAGCGATCCTGGAGACCCGGGATCGAATCCCACGTCGGGCTCCCGGTGCATGGAGCCTGCTTCTCTCTCTGCCTGTGTCTCTGCCTCTCTGTGTGTGTGTGTGTGACTATCACAAATAAATAAAAATTTAAAAAATAATAATAATAAATAAAATAAAATAAAAAAATTGCATGTAACCTAATAGATAAATTGATTTTCTAGGTCATATATAAGCAAAACCTATGTAAACAGTGTGTATACGTATTCAGCTTCACTCAATAACTGAAATGCACACTTTCAAGTGCACACCATTCTTGAAACATAAGAAGGCAGGCCCATTGGGGGTGGCTTCCACTAAGACTATTGCAGCCTTATCCAACAGGGCTCTGAAGAACTTGGCACCACAGGGGTGCCATTGTTAAGCAAGAGGTATGCATCTATTTGCCCCTGCCTCTCATCCCTGCAGTGGCCTGCAGGCCAAAGGATAAAAAAAATGTGTCCTCCCAGAGTTTCCAGTGAGCCAGCTGCCGTCTACCCAGAGTGGTTCTTTAGAGGCTGGTGGGTGTGTCACTGAGGGGGGCGGCGGGGAGGGGGATGGGGAAGCTAGGTGCACCATCCAGGCAGAGGGAATCTGCACAGGACCCAGACCTTTCCAATTCAGTGCCATGGTTAGCATTTCTGTTTTATGTTGTCAACTAATATTCCACTGTATAATGGCCAGTTTGGTGCTTCATTAGGTTTAAACCTGGAGTGATAATGGAAAGGGTGAACATATTCCTAGGTACCAGAAACACTTCTGCCATGTGCTTCATTCCCCTTGGAGAGTAGAGGGTTAATGCTTGCAAGTCCAGGGTAAATAGGGGCTAGTACATCTCCTAGGGGCAGAGGCAGCTCCCAGGGTGCTGGAGGAGGGTGATTGGCCAGGAGCACTAACCACGAAGTTCAGCGGGCATTCAAGAGACTAGAAAGCAAGTTATGACACTCGTCCACAATTGTGCATTCTTGAAAACGTCCATAAAATGTGCATTTTAAGAAGCGATCTTTAAAAGGAGCCCTCTGAAATTACAAATATACAAAATAAAATACATGAGTGATGAAAAAGAACTAGCCCTAAAAGTAAAATGACAACAGAGAAATAACAGGAAGCAAAAGATGACAGACAGAGCCCATGGGGAGTGTGTGGCTGTCCCACGGGCTGGAGTAGGATAGGCCTGCAGAAACCAGCATGAGGAGATGCATGGAGCTAACTTTTCTTAGCCCGATGGTAAATATATTTGGCTCACAGACCAGGTGGTGTCTGTCACACCTACTTGATGCTGCCTTTGTAGGTGTAAGCTGCCACAGACAATATGAAAATGAGTGGCTGTGTTCCAATAAAACTTTATTTACAAAAATCAGCAGGCAGCCGGCTGGCTTGCCCTGATAGGGCGTCCTGCATTTACTGCCTCGGGGTTTGCCGCAGCCCAGTGCAGGGCTTGTGCACACCGATGGCTCAGAAGGGGTGTGGGCTCCCATGTGCAGGGTGGGGAGGCACGGGGAGTTGGGGGGGGGGGCCAAGCAGGACAGGATTCCGCACGGAAAGCAGACAAGTTATCAAAGGAGGGTGAGGCAGAGGCTGGCAGAGGCTAGCAGAGACAGGCACAAGGAGGGGAGACAGAACACGCACGGGCAGGACAGGCTAACACAGTGGGCCACACCAGCACACACACCAATATCCCAGGGAGGAGGGGAGCAGGGCAGGGTGCATGTGGGGGTCCTGGGCTGGGAGCATAGTGCAGGGCCTCTGTGTCTGGAGGCACAGGCCCATCACAGACCAGGCCCTCATCCCACCCCCCCCACCCAACCCCGACCAGCCCCTCTCTGGCCCTCCTCTGCCAACACACCCACGGGACCCCCCCTCCTGCCCCTCCCCCACAAGTGCCCACAATGGGGACAGGTCAGAGCAGCTCAGCGGGAGAGCTGGAGCAAACCACTGAGGCAGGAAGAGATGGATGGGAGCCACACTCGTGAGAATTGCCATTTATTCCTGAAGTTGCCAAAATTATCACCAAGGATTCACCAAGGGGTGCGAACGGGGACGAGGAGGCTCAAACACTGATTGAGGGGCCAGTTGGGAGGGAGGGGGAAGGGTGGGGGGACCCCCAGCTGTCCCTCCCCTTTCTAATGCCACAGGAAAGGGGTCCTCCTCTGGCCAGCACCCCTCCCCATCCCCCATGTCCAGTTTGTCTCCAGGGAGGTGGGGTGGGGGGACATGGAAGAGGGTGTAGTGTGAGTGGGCCCCAGGAGGGGGAGGGTGCTGGGGTGGGGGCGGGGGTCCCCCCGCTTCACATGCACTCACAACACTGGTCTCTCAAGGAGCAGAAATGGGGGAAGCCAGGCCAGGCCAAATCCCCCCCCCCGGATTATAGGAGGAAGGGGTTAGTGTTGGGGGCTGGGGGGCCTGGAGGCATCATAGGGGGCAGGCCGGGGCCCCCGCCAAGGGGAGAGATGTATGTCGGTGGTACTCCAGGGACCGGAGGCACAGGGCTGAGCCGGAGCTGGTTCAGGGTAAGCGTCGCAGGGGGCGCGGGCTGAAAGGGGTTGGTGACGGAAGGGCCAGTGGTCGGAGCTCCTACAGGAGAGAAGAGAAGAGGAGACATGCAAAGCAGGGTCAGGGGTTGCCTGGGGAGGAGGTCAGTGGGCAGGACCGGCCTAGGAGGCCCACACTCACCGCTTGGCAGGAAGGGGTTGGAGGCCTTGGCTCCTGGCGGCGTGGGGCCTGGCCGGCTGACCAGCGAGTCCAGGTCAACGAGGGCTGCATTAGGCCCCAGGAATGACTCTGGTGTCTTCCGTGTGGGCGGTGGGGGGGTTGGAGCAACTGTGGGTGGGGGGCTCCCCACAGCCTCAGCCAGAGAGCCCCCGACCCCACTCATGTCGAATGCCCCAGGACTGCGGGGGGGCACCTCTCCAGCGAGCAGCTCCAGCTCTCCTAGAAGGAGCCAGAGAGGGGGTCAGGGGAAGATGAGCAGTGGGGACCTGGTACAGGGAGGCCGTGGTCCTGTGAGGCAGAGCCCAGGGAGGGACACGCATCCGAGGACACCAGCTGACAACCTGCAGGGCACAGACTACTGGGAAAGAGCCAGCGAGGGGCAACATGACCTAAGGGATGCTCCTCTGGTCCCACAGAAGCCCCACTGGTTCCCTGGTCCTCAATAGAAGCTTCATGGTGGGCAAACAAAATCCTAGCAGCCTTGGTGACTTCTGTTAGCTTGACATTTGGCTTAAAAAGAGAGATTTAGGAATCCTTTGTGATGTCAGGAAATGCACAAACTGGTGCAGAGATACAAGAAAAGGCCCAAAGGAAGGTCAACTGCAGACTGTGCAGTAACCAAGGGCCCTGGGGGATGAGTCGGGACTGTGGGGGCCCTGCCTGTCCTTCTCGGTTCACCTCCCAACTGTCCTGCATCCTCCCGCTCCTACAGGTCTGACTTACTCAAAGATGAGCAAAGAAAGGGAGCAAGGGGAATACCACTGCTGCAGGAAGACACATTCAGCGCCTCCCAGGTACAGGCTCCTGTGCCCTCCCAACACCTCGCAGGGACAGGTCTTATCTCTGCCTGGAGAAGATGCAGGAGACAGGACGCCCAAAGACAAGGTGCCCCATGGACAGGATGCCTGCTGGGCAAGGTGCTACCCTGAGGCAGCAGTGGGCATGCAAGGAAGGGGACACGGTGACCAGAGGCCCCTTGTGGTCACTGTGTTGCCACACTGCTGTCAACCCAGGTATAGCTGGTCAGGCCCTCAGACACACCCAGAGAAACGTTCCAGGGAAAGAAATCAATCAGGTCAGTATTTGGGGAAATTCCAGAAAGAAAACTCTTTATACTATTCTTACTATTCTTGCAAGTTTTCTCTAAGTATAAAGTTATTTGAAACAAACTTAAAACTTTCTTTTTGAAGATACAACATCAAACCTCAATAAAATTGCCCAGGTGCTAGGTCTCATCTGAGAGCTGCATCCACCTTGCTTAACCCCTCACTCAGAAGCAGTCCACAGGGACTGCAGGACCACCTGCTGAGGAGCCCACAGGCTGGGTGGGGCCAGGGTGGGGATGGTGGGTGGGGTGGGGCTCACCTGTGCTGCTCCCAGAGGTCGGTAGGGCTGTGCGCAGTCGGTCAAAGTCAGAGAACTCATCTGGCTCAGCATCAAACCCCACTGCTATATGGGCGGGATATCAGCTCAGCTCATCAAAGAGACCAGCCTCCCGCTCCCCCTGCCCCCCAGCACCCAGGATGTCGGCTCAGCTCATCGAGGGGTCCGGCCTCCTGCTGCCTCCCAGCACTGAGGAGACCAGACACATCCCACATTCACCTGTACACCTCCCACACCACACACACTCAGACCCTGTCTGCTTGACCCCAGAGCCCACCCAGTACCTACCTGCAGTGCCATTGGTGCTGGGCTTGGCAGGTGACCCTCCCCAGGGGTCCGAGAAGGCCGGGGCTGGAGCCCAGGGATCAGAGGCAGGGGGTCCACCAGCTGGGGCCCCACCTGGGTGAGGAAGGAGGCATGTGAGACGCTGGTGGCTGGAGGCACTGTTACCTAGAATCTGTGCCCATCCCCTCCAGCCTCTCCCTTCTAGGTCCATCACCTCCCCAAAGCCCCACCCTGCTCACCAATGCTGTAGGATACAGCTAGATATCCCAGGGGCTTCGGGCCCAGCCCCAGCCAGCCTTGTCCCCATAATCTAACCATGGTTCACACACTGCTGGGCCTCTGCCCATGTATCCGTTCCTGGCAAAGCCCTCCTCAGCCTTGGTGCCCCTAAGAAGCTCCCCAGCTGGGAAAGCAGCCTTGGGTGTGTGCCTCACCTAGGTGTGCCCAACTCCACACCTCAAGCCCCCACAGCTCCCTGAAGTCCCCACAGGGTATGTGACCCCCTTCCCAGCCTGCCTATGCCCAGGCTCCGCAGCCACCCCACCCTGACTCCACCCTAGCAGCCTCTCCACACCCCAACAGCCCGATACCCTTCCCATTGTCCTTCAAGGTTCTCTCACCCACTCTCCTCTGGGCTGTCTTATCTGACCCCCACAGCTGCCTGTCATCCACTTGACTATCTGTTCCTGTCCCCAGGGTATATCCCAGACTGCACACTGGATGTGGGGGCTGAAGCAGGAGGGCAATCAGCACTCACCATCAGAGCTCCCCCATGGGTCAGGCGTGGGCCCCTCTCCAGCAGCAGGGGCCTGGGTCCCACCCCAAGGGTCAACTGAGGGCCCCGCAGGGGCAGCAGGCCTCCAAGGGTCCCCAGAGGCTGGTGTAGGGGCCGGACCACCCCAGGGATCAGCAGCTGGAGGGACAGGGGCCCCACCCCAAGGGTCTGAGGTAGGGGCACTCATGGGCGCTGGGCCGCCCCAGGGGTCTGAGGCTGGTGGTGGAGCCGGGGCTGTGAAAACATCAGCAAGATCCATGAGGGATGACTGCAAGAGACAAAGGACAAAGAGCGTATATAGCATGAGCAGTGTAGCCAGGGGACTGGGAAGAGAACCTAGATGACAGACGCTACAGAAGAAGAGAGGGGAGAGTGAGCTAGAGTGTGATGGGGTGTGATGGGGGAAGCCCCACAGCCAAGGAGGGACGGCCAAGGGCCACGAGACAGGAGGAGTCAGCCTCCCCATCTCCCATTCCCGCTATGCCCCAGCTCTGTCTGCCTCCCCTACCACCAGCCCAGCCACCACCAAATGCCAAGAGTGCCACTGGCCCTGACCCAAACCCTCCATCCACTCCCAGTCCCCAGCAAGGACAGAGGCCAAGGTCCAAAGCTACCCCTCACCCACCCTCTGGGAGGTCTGCCTGGGTCTCCCACCCTGAGTCCACCCTGAACAGTCCTGGCCTAAGGCTGAGCACTCATCCCGCATCACCACATATTCCAGATGTCCAGGGCTACCCGTATGCACACATACACCCACACCCTTATGCATACAATCTCCCCACATCCGGGGATGAACCCAGCTAACCAGAGCACTCAGCATCTCTGGATACAGAAGTGCCACACCTCTTATCCCCACAGGACAAAAGTGGCAGGGTGCTGGGACCAAAGCCCTGCAACCCTGGTGCCACCTTCCTCCAGGACACTGAATTGTCAGGCATCAGTGAGACCCTTTGGCCAAGGCTGGCCTGAGCAAGCTTTTCTTTCTTTTCCTTTTTTTATTTTATTTTATTTATCCATGAGAAAGAGAGAGAGAGAAAGAGAGACAGAGAGACAGAGAGAGAGAGAGAGAGAGACATAGGCAGAGGGAGAAGCAGGCTCCATGCAAAAGCCCAATGTGGAACTCGATCCCAGCATCCTGGAATCACGACCTGAGCCAAAGGCAGATGCTCAACCTCTGAGCCACCCAGGTGCCCAAGCTTTTCTATCAAGAGCACCCCCATGGCTAACCAGCCAGCCAGCCCAACCTCGCTGCCCCCCACCCCCCTGCTGATCAGGAGGGCGTCTGCACTCCTTCACTGTGGAGGCACTCAAGACACCCACAGCGCCTGGTGAGACCACGGAGGAGGCCAACTTGGATGCCCCAGCTACACGGGTGACCTTGGCCCTGACATGTGGAGCAAACCCCGTCCACTCTCAGAGCCAAGAGAAGGGTTGAAGCAGCACAAACTGAAATAGCACCAAACCTCATTTGTCTACACTGGGGGGCCTAGAGGCCCAAAGGCTGGGGACCAGACAGGTCTCCCTCACCCACCAACCCTCGGGGTCCAGAACAATGTGAGTGTGGATGAACTCTATGCCGTCCCCTTCCTGCACAACCAGGTGGGGGCTTTCACTCTACTAAGCCACAAGAATTGACCAGCAGTAGCAACATCTCCCGCAGCAGATACAGGCAAAGGTCTCCGACAGAAGCATCTTCCAGTCTCCACACGTGTCCACAAGAAGATGGTTACCTGCTGCCGCTGCCACCCTGCCACCCTGTCCCAGACCCCTGCCCATGCTCACCTCCTCCTGGCCACCGGTCTCCCTCCTGCTCTCCTCTATAGCCATCTGCAGCCTCAGGTCATCCCCGCGGCGGATCCGCTCTTCCTGTTTGGGTCATGAAAGCAGGCAGCGAAGGAGGCTAAGAATGAGAGCAACTGGGGCCCAAGAACCCTCTCCCCCACAGACAAAAGTGACAAAATTAAAATGGGATGTGGACAATGTGTGAGAAGAAGGGGATGGGGAAGAACGTGTGGTCTGGGGGAACGGGGATGTAGGGATGGTGTGCCGGAGGTGGGCCTGGCTTGGCACTGCTCTGACAGGCCTGGGAAGCGTGTGGCCCAGGGGAAGATGGGCCTTCCCACCAGGTGCCTGACTGCAGTGTCTGCTGCTGGTTGGAGAGGACCAAGCCTTGGACTGTGGCGGAGCGCGAGGAAAGGGCTCCCTTGCCACCCAGAGCAGCTAAAAGGCACCTGCTTCCCGTACTGGGACTGCACCCACCTGAGGACCCATCTGAGGACCCATGTGACACAGGTCCCATAGCTGGAAATGCTGAGGCAAATTTGTGCACACTAGGGACAGGGCTGGAGGGGGCAGCAGGGAGGGGCAAGGAGACAGGGACCTGAGGAAGGTCTGAGGGGAGCCCTGGGAAGGGTAGGGGGGCTGCTCTGACCTTGTCGTGCTCCTCTCGGCTCAAACTAAGGGCCAGCTGGAGCTGGACGTCATCCTCGGGGCCGCAGGACGGGGGCTGGGGGAGAGAGAGTATGAAGGGGCCGGGGCGGGACACAAGATGGGGAGAGAGAGGGAGGGGGAAGGAGAAGAGGAAAGACAGACACACACACAGAGCAACAGAGGAGAGCCAGGGATGGAAAGAGCCGCAGACACAGTCACACACAAGAGACAAGCATGGGACAGGAGCTGTGAGGGACAGGCATCCCTGAGAGAAGAGACAAGAATGCCCAGGACGAGGAGAGGAAGACCAGGTCAGGGGGCAAGGGGAGGGAGAGACAGAATGAAGCAGGGAGGGAGGGACAGCAAGAGAGGTGGGGGAGGGGGAGACAGAGAGCACAGGCCCTTAGGACCTGAGGGGTGAGGGATGGAGATGGGATGGCAGAACCAAAGTCAAAACGCCCTGCCGCGCCCGTCACACCCACCCAGGCCAGTACCTGGTCAGCCTCCTCCTTGCTCATGGCCAGGGCTAGCTGGAGCTGCAGCTCCTCCTCCCCGCTACTCTGTGGCCACGCCTGTTCTGCCTCGGGTGGGGGCCCGGAGCCCACCGCTGCTGAGGAGGCTGCAGTGGCAAAAAGCAACTGACACAGGTGGAAAAAAAGAAGGGGACCCTGTAGCCCCAACATTGGGCTTCCACTGGGGGTGGGGGCAGGTTGGTGAGCCAGGTTTGTCCAGCACCCCCGGAAGATGAGGGACGGGGGTCAAGGAAGGACAGCCCTGCTGGCCCAAAACCACAAGTCCACCAGGTAAGGGAGGAAGCTTGGGAGCCTCAGAGCCCATGACTGGAGTTCCCACACAGTATGCCTGGGGCCTGGTACAGAGCCCATGGGGACACAGGTCCTTCATCCCTGGTCCCACAAAGCTCCCAGCGTGTCCAGGGCCTGCATTTTCAGAGCTAGTGGAGAACTGTGTGGCAGGGACCAGCTGGCATTAGGGGAAGGACGGTACCAGCATCCTCAGCCCCCAACCCCTTCCTGGGTGTGACTGACACAAGAGGTGACTGGCAGGAGGAAAGAAAGGGAAGGAGGGACAGAGAATGTGAAGGAGGTGACCACCTGCAAGGAGGGATGAGCGGGGCACAGGGCCTAACAGGTAAAGGACCAGCTAAGCTTGCAGGACATGCCCACCTGCTCCTCCCAGCTGGCCCTCCTCAGAGAGCTGTCACTAATCTCTGACCTTGGGCAGCCCCCCGGCAGGACCAAGGGAGCACCATATGGCAGCTCCAGGGCCTGGGTGGAGGGCAGGGACATACCTGGGCCCTCTAGTGGCTCTTGGTCAACATCTGGGGGTGAACAGAACACTTCTCAGCTCTCGAGTCCCACAGTGTGGGGGAAGGGACAGGGAAGGACCCTCCTATGAGGGGATAGCCTAAAGCTGAACTCTAGCCCACCTGGCTCGGAATGAGGGGGAGCAAGAGGGCTCGGCACCTGGACACAAGGCACCTGGCAAGGAGGCACCCCAGACCCTTGGCCACCAGGGTATTTGAGAAAGCCAGGGTGGAGGAGGCTGGGCTGGACCTCCTGGGGGCAGCAGGCCTCACCAGTGGCAGTCTGTGCCAGCTTCTCTTTGGTCTTGAGCGCATGGGCACGCTCCTCTCGCAGCCGGTCCTCGTCACGCAGCAGGGCTACCAGCTGTTTGGCCTTCTCACGCACGTTCACACCCTGGTCCTTGCCATCACGGTCCACATACTGGAAGTCCTTCAGCGTTTGCACAGCATACATGTTCTCCTTGCACTGCTGAGACACACGCTCCGAGCCGGTTTTGATGAGGTACTCCATCAGGGTCATGGCCTTCGGGGCAGGGGGGCACACCAGTCACTCACGAGGCAGCCAGGATCCCAGTCCCACATAACCAACCCACATAATATCAGCAGGTGGAGAAACAGACGTGGCCCATCAGCACAGCGGGCACTACCTGGGCATAAGAAAGGACGAAGCACAGCTGCGTGCTGCCGCCTGCAGACCCTGAAGACGTGCTGAGTGTAAGTAACCAGATGCCAGAGCACACACGGCCCACGATTGTGCTCACGTGAGACATCCTCAGGCACATCCACGGAGGAAGGATGTTCATGGCTGCCAGGGGCTGGGTGACTCTTAATGGGAAGGGGTTTGTGTTCAGGATGACAGAAATACACTAGACCAGGGCGGCGGGGACAGCTGCCCACCCTGGGAACATGCTCGATGCCACGGCACTGCGCACTTTATGAGGGTGACTCATACGGCATGGCGTCTACATGTGTCTCGATAAAAAGACATAAGTAGGGAAATAACAAGTGTGGTCACTGCAGCCCCACCCGGGCTTCCCTGAGGGGTGCAGACCCCGCTCTATTTCTCTAAAAGGAAAACCCAAAGTAAGACAGCCAAAGAGACATGCCTGTTAAACGACACTCAAGGCACCCAAGACACAGGAATGGAGCTGCTTTCCCTACCGTCCTGTACACCTGGGAAGCGTCACCACCTCCAATTTAAGACTTTCCCACTCTGAGGATGACAGAGAGGCAACTCCCTTACCCGAATTGGGAGTCTGGAGGGAGGTGCCGAGCCTGCAGGGGTGGTTGAGACCCCGGCTCTCTGTAGGGGACATGTGTGTCCTGGGAACAGGAGGAACAAGAGGACAGGGACACAGGAGCACCTTGTGATAGCTTTTGCATTTTAGGACAGGAGAACAAAGTCTCTTTTCAACAAGTTGAAATCAAATGAGAGGGTGCCTGAGTGGCTCAGTCAGTTAAGCATTTCCCTTCAGCTCAGGTCAAATCCTAGAGTCCTGGGATTGAGCCCAGGATTGGGCTCCCTGCTCAGTGGAGAGCCTGATTCTCCCCCTGCCTCTGTCTCTCAAGCTTGTGCGCGCGCATACCCGCACTCTTTCTTTTTCTTTCTCACATGAATAAATAAAATCTTAAACACATGCACAGAGACACACATGAGAAAAAAATCTACAAGGCCACAGACAAGGGTGCACGTCAGTGTGTGCCCCAGAGCAAGGTGACACAAAGGGAGGACCTGGCCGATTCAGCTGAGCTGGCTCAGCAGTTGCAGGACCTGCCAGGGAGCCCTGCTGTGGGTCAGCACTAACTCCCTGCCACCCACGGGAGCCAGGCCTGGATCTGGCAGGCTTCCTGAAGGTGTGTGAACAGAATGTGTGCCAGTAATCACAGATTAGTCTTTAACCAGCCCTTGGGGTGTTTATGCATTACAGGGGAAAGGAAAGAAGCAATCATGCTGCCAGTCACACCTGGGCTAGAAGGCAGGCAGGCTCCACCAGTCCTGGGCCAGCTGTGCTAGGACTAGAAGGGCAGCACATAGCACACATCACACACCAGTCTCCCAGCAGGTCAGACCAACAGTTAAACTATGTGAGACCAACAGATCCCAGATAAACCTTGCCTCAGTCCAGAATGGGATTCCCACCCAAAAAATTATAAGAACTCGTTTCCAGGCTCTGGAAACTTTCAAAGTACAGTTAAATAGACAATGAACCCGGAAATAACCCAAACACCCACCAAGAGTCAAATGCACATGTATGAGGCAGTGTGCTCATGTGATGCGAGCAGCACACACAGCAAGATAATGTAAAGAAACCTCCCAGATGTGGCGGGGACCAACCTAAGCAGACACAAAGAACCATGTGCATGAGCCCATGGAAAGTTCTAGAACGAGCTTGGCAGACAGAAGGCAGGGTAGGATGCTTCTGGGGGAGGGGTGTGCTGAGCAAGCCTGGGGGAGCCAGGGACAGCCTCTGTCTCCATCTGGGTGCTGGCTACACAGGTGTGTGCACGTGAGAGAGCAGATCAGGCTGTATGCTCAAGATGGGTGCCGCAACAGCAAACGTGAACATTTTCTCAAAAGCAAGCGGCGGGACAACCCAATAGCCTCTGTTAATTTTCAAAACCACTTGCTCACAGAGGTGGAACAACATTGGCATATGGGAGTTAGTCTAAAACAAGGACCGCAACCTTCTAAAAGGCCCAGGTGATCAACAGCCCAGCTTTTCAGGCCACACGGCCCCTGTGCTGATCCCTCAGCTCCATGTGACAGAGGACACACAGGCCTGTCCGAACCGACAGAACTTTACCTACGAACACAGGTGGTAGGCCAGCTTTGGCCCACGGACCATAGCGTTTTGACCTCGGTTTAAGAAACAAAACTTGGGGCATCCCCGATGGCTCAGCGGTTTAGCACCACCTTTGGCCCAGGGCGTGATCCTGGAGACCAGGGATTGAGTCCCGCATCAGGGTCCCTGCATGGAGCCTGCTTCTCCCTCTGCCTGTGTCTCTGCCTCTCTCTCTCATAAGTAAATAAAATCTTAAAAAAAAAAAACAACTTGAGACCACTAAGTCCTTGAAGCTGGAGGTGACACAACTGAGCTAGGAGAATGGGGCTCCTCTCCCACCCCCTGCCCTCCTTGTGCCTCAGTGTCCCCTCCTAAGAGGGACCAAAAAATGTACTTCACGGGGGTTCTGTGCCCACAGCAGCATGTCTCCAGCAGAGCAGAGCCCCACAGGGCTCATCTCCCTGCCACACGGTCCATGAGCCCCACCAAGCTGCTCTCAAGGTTTCAAGAGGCCCTCCCAGTCCTGTCCCCTCCCTTCACCTCCACACGAAGGCTCATCCAGACTCCCGACCCTTTCCCTGATTCTCAGCTACACAAACACCACCCAGTCCTTCACAACAAAGAGCCAAATAATTGATGCAGCACAGACTCTGTGGGAATGAGGACCCACCCCAGGTTTGTTGAGATGGGCATACAAATGAGCCAGAGCATTTTCAGGTCTCAGGAACAGGACAGAGCGTGGCCAGCACAGGCCCCAGCTGGAGTCCATGGGTCTGGGGCTTCATCTGCCTGGTCCGTGGCCATAAAGAGTAGGCCCTCAACCAACATTCAAAGGCGTCGGCAGCAAGAGGACTCCCTGACACTGCTGCACCTCACACCAGCTCCACCCCCAGCAGCCAGACCCTCACATGGAAGGAGGTCCACAGGCCACTCTGAGCCACACAGCCAGGAGTGGGACCTGGGCACCTGCCCCAGCCCATGCCCAATGCCAATTCCCAAACGAAGGGGAGGACACCAGGCCCCAGGATAGAAGACAGGAAACCACCTCACTGAGCATTGCCCAAAGACATGTTCCCTTTGACCACCACCCATGGTCTTGTCTGTTCACTGAAAGAGGACACATGCACGTGTCACTGGGGACCAGTCAACAGACTCTCTATGAGGGGCACTCTACCTACATTTACCAAAATGACACAGGCATGCGCCCCTCGACCCAGAACTTCCACTTCTAGAGAATGACAAACATACAAGGATATCCATGGCAGTCCTGTTCACAGAAGCAATACATCACAGACCACTTAAAAATTCATCATTGGGTAACTAGCAGGTGACAGGAGAGAGAAAGGAAAAAAGGTAGCAAACCTGCTATATTCTGATGTGAAACGATCTGTAATATTTAAACTCATCTTTTTTTTTTTTTTAGAACTGGGGTACAGCTTATATGTGATCAAACCCACTGATTTTCACGTGCACTTCTGGGTTCTGATACAGGATGGTACCATGGCCCCCAAATTCCCTGGTGCCTGGGGACGCGCACACACGGGTCATCCTGGAGGACCACACACAAGCTGAGGACACCAGCTGCCCCGAGAGGGACCAGGGCTGTGGGTGCACAGAAGGACGAACACCATGCACCTGCTTCGACCTTCTATGTGGATGAATCTTGTGAATGTGCTATGTTTTCAAAGTGAAGTTTAGATCACAGGACTCAAACTCTTAAACCCTTGTGTTTCTTGCCCTTGTTAAATGAGAAGAGGAACAAAAGGAGAGAGATTTCATGTGAAGACCTAGAACTCCAGCTCCTCCTGCAAACTGGGAAGGCTGGACCTGATGGCACTCCCAGCAGAGCCCCGCACCTACCCATGAAGACGTGTGCACGTGAAGCCCGCTGCAGCCCGGGCACTGACCTTGTAGACGTGCCGCCAGTTCTTGCCATGGTCATTGAGCCGCTTCCAGATCATGCTCATGATCTCAGAGAAAGCAACAACGTTGTAAGTGAGGTCCGCGATCTCAGACATTAGGGAGCTGGATGGGCCCCAGGGGTCGTTGCTTGTGGCTTCTCGGACCTTGATCTCGGCCTCCGAGTAGTTGTGGACTATGTTTTTCATCTGGCGCCGCAGGGACGAGGTCGACATGGTGGCAGGTGGTGGCGAGCCCCTTGGGGTGTAGAGAGAGGAGGAAGCTCGAAGAAGCAGACAGCGGCAGGGGCTGCTGGGTCACCACATCTGAGGAGGAAAGACCCTTTGGAAACACAAGTGGGACCTGGGGCTGGCTGGTGCACACCCTCCTGGGGCTCCCCCCTGCCCCTGGGGCCTAGAAGCTTCTGGCTTCTGTTAACCCCTGACTTAGGCAGTCTACCTTTCAGTTCCTCAAACATGCCCAGCTCCTTCCTGCTTGGGGGCGCTGCTCAGCGAGGCAGAATGTACCACAGAGGATCGCAGGTTGGGGCACCTCAGCTAGGCACATCCCAGCCACCTGCCTTGGGTGGGCCAGGAACTCTGGCATTTCCATTTTCCGCTCTAACAAGTGGGGTTTTATCCCATAACCCAGTGGATAGGAAGTATGCTGTGAACACAAGATGAACACCCTGCTCTTCCTCTCCCTCACTGCCCAGGTCACTCCCACTCACCCCGAGAGCTCTGTGTAAGATTCCCAAATTTCACACCCAAACACCATGGTCATTGTTGCCCAGGGGCCCCAGAGGCAGACTGTGCCACCCTCGTGACTTTATACTAGTCCAACTCTGTAGCTACAGTCAACCCTTGAACTCCAGGGGGACAGACACCACGTCTACATGGACGTGACTTTTCCAAACAGAGCAGCTGACCCAGAAGAGCTGGAAGGAGGGAGGGCAGGGAAGACCTCCAGAGCAGGAGTGGACAGGACAGACCCTGAGGCAGACGCAAGGACACATGGAGAGGAGACCAGAAAGGAACAAAGAGGCGAGAGGCGGAGAATGCCAGGGGTACGAGGCGTCCCAAGGGTGGGAAAGCTGGAGGTTCAGGGAGGAGAGATAAGGATGAGCATGGCTGCTGCCTAGGTCCCTGCAGCATGCCAGGCACTCCTGGACCAAAAGATGACCATTATCTCATCCAATGCCACCAGCCTCATTCTAACTGACAAGAAGACAAGGGTTCACGGAGGCTTAACAACTCAGCCAAGGTCACACCCAGCACAGCAGCAGACTCAACCTCTGGCTGCTTGGACACCAAAACTTACACTTTTAAACTAACTGGTGCTGAAACGAAGGCAACGGAAGAAAGAGAAGGCTGGGAAGCAGGCAGACAGTGACCGTGACAGCAAGCAGTGACATGACCCTACTCTGTGCCAGGCATTCTGCCCCGTGCTTTACGCACAGTGACTCAACTAATCCTCGCAACTCCATGATTCACAGCATCTCACAGGGTAGGGAACTGAGGCACAGCAAGAGCCGCCTTTCCCTGGCTCCAGAGTGGACTCTGACAACCACAGTCCACATCTATGCCGACAAGCCTCCCACAACCCGCCTACATCCTGGACAGGCAGCCAGCCCCAGCTCTGAACTCAGGCACTGAGACACACACAAAGACACACACAGTCAGGGGGCCGAGCAGGCCAGCCGGAAACACTGAGGTGAAGAGCTGAGGGGACCAACACAGAGGACACAGAGGGACAGGAACAAGACAAACAAGTGGAGAAAGAGGCGTCAAGAAACCTGGATGGAGGAGACACAGGGAGCTGAAGCCACAGGAGACAGACACGTGGCAGATGACACAGAGCAAACACAGAGACCCAGAACGAAAGGACAGCAACCTGGCACTGCAAATTTACAGGAGAAAAACATGGTACAGAACACACAAAGCTTGGGCCCAAACTCTGGCTGTGAGCTACCAACAGGAGCCAGTCTGCACAACTCTGACACACAGCAAAGAATTCCTACCTGGCAGGCCTGGTGATTAAATACGATGGGTACATACAGTGCTTAGCTCCCTGTCCCACAGATAGTGGGACCTCAATAACGCTGCCCGCCAGTCATTACCAGAAGCAAAGAGCATTTCCAAAAGTGTGGTAACGGAAGATGCTGCATTCTAACTGCAATTGTAGGAAAGTGCGTTAGAAAAAACGTCAGGGCATCACACAGCTAAGATTTCAGATACTGCTTAGGATGGGACCAAGTTTTCCAAAATAAACGGATTCAAAGAAAGGTTATCAGATCAGACGGAGGACAAATGCGAGGGCAAATCCTGCGAGGGGCGTTCAAAGGACTCACAGAACACAGAGCGCGGGTCGGGATCTGTGAGCAATCATGGAATCCAGAGCTCCGGGCGGCGGACCGCAGGGCCACGTCCGTGCACACCCACAGCCCCAACCTGGCGGGCGAGGGGGCCGGGGTGTCACCCCAGATATACCACAGGCCGGCGAGCACGGATGGGGCCTGCCCGCGGAGCCCGGCTCCCGAGAACCCGCGGGAGGGCACAGGGGGGCCCCGGGCTGCAGGGAGGAGCGCGAGGACTGCAATGAATGGGAAACAGGCGACACGTAAGCCCCGAGGCCCGGGAACTGCAGACACGAAGCCCGGCCGTCACCCCGAGCGCCGCGCGCGGATCCCAGCGGACAGCGACGCCCGCAGCAACTGAGGCCAGGGCGCAGGCCGGCGGACGCCCGAGGCCGGCTGGCCGCACACACACAAAGGCCGCGGGGCTGAGCCGACGGGCCACACGCGACGGACGCCCGAGCGCCCTCAGCCCGCTGCGCCCCTGGACCGCGCTCACCTCGGCCCCTCACGCCGGGCTCCGGGGGGTCATGGCGGGCAACCCCCTGCCCCCGCTCGGCCTCGGTGTCGCGGGGCGCGCGCCTGGCCGCGGGCGGCGGACGGACAGGCGCACTCGGGTGCACCGACGGAAGCACGGAGTGGGCCGCACGCCGACGGCCCCGCCGCCCCGGCGCCCGGGAGGGGCGCAGAGAGCCGGGCGGGGGAGGGGAGCCGCTGAGCGGACGGGAAGCAACCGGAGGCGACGGACCGGAAGCGGAAGTGGCGACACGCTCCTCCCTCTGCGCCGCACCCGGCGTACTCGCCCGCAAGGAGCCTACGCAGCCGCTACTTCCGCGGCCCTGCCCGCCCCCTACTCAGCGTCACTTCCGGCGCGCAGGCACCCCCGCAAAACCCAGGGGCCAACCTCGGAGAGCAGGCCTTATTAGAGGGATGAGGGCCGGCCAGCGCGGCCGAAGGCGGCGGAGAAGGGACCGTGTAATCGCCAGCTCACGCGGCCACGCCGCCCTCTGCACCTTGCGGCGCTTTGGGGAACTGGCGTCGCCAACACCGCCTCCCCACCGCGCGAGCTAGCCTGCCGCCACGCCCCCCTCCGGCCGGAGCAGGCGGCCACGCTGGCAGGGTGTGCCCCGGAGGGCGCGCCAAGGGCGCGAGGGGAGAGGTCAGAGACCGGGGACTCACACACTGGACACCGAGTAGGCCCATAAAATAAAATACAACAAAATGTTTAATGAGCAAATTCGTCTTAGCAAATATGAAACTGCCACAGAGAGGAAACGGGGGCCGCAGATCAGGGAGACTAGAGAAGAGTCAACTACGTAAGAAACCAGGGAGGGCACGGGAGGGGGGGGCGCACAGGGGTAGGACCGGAGGCCAGGAGGACGGGAGCTGTGGTCCTGGAGGGATAAGGCAGGGCACGGGGGAGTGTGGACAACAGAATTCAAAATAGTTTGGCCATAAAATATAAACACACTTATGTTTCTACAGTGGGGACGGGGGCGGGTAGGAGAGGGAGGAGAGGCTGTTCTGGGGAGGGGCCATGGGGGTCCTACCCGCCCTGCTGTGCACCCCCTCCCCGCCCCCCTTCCCTCTGTGTCTGTGGGTGCATGTGTGTGGGCCTGTGCGCACACTTCCCCATTGCCCTCCCCGCCCCGATCGCTGCCATTCCAGTTGCTGCCGGCTGTCGGCTGTCGTTCGGCTGTCACTCCTCTGCCCATCTTCTTCAGAGGGGGAAAAGGGGGGGGTGGAGGGGGAGACACCCCCAGCCAGCCCTTCCCCCACCCTCCCCCTCCACCTCTACCAGAAGTCCCGGCGGTGGTAAGAGTCGGGGTCACAGTATTTTGTGACAACCACTCTGTTGGCGAACTTGCGACCCGTCAGGCCCTGCATGGCTTTCTGGCAGTCAAACACAGAGGTGAACTCCACGAAGATCTGCGGGAGTAAGAGGCAGGTGGTAAAAGCAAGGTGGCCCCAGCCCCAGCAAACAGCTAGCCTGCACAGAACCCACAACTCTGCAAGACAGAGGGAGGCAGCGGGCCTTCCTGCAGATCTGCGATCATTTACCCAAATGTACTCTGGAATCCCAGGATCAAAGAACAAGAGGGCACAGAGCAGAGCTCAGGGGAGGCATCAGAGCATGACTGGAGCCCAGAGCCACACCCACGGCAAAGAGCTCCACCCGCCCTGCCGGTGCTCCTCCCTCCCCAAAGCTTCCCCAAGGGCCAGGTTCTCCCCAGAGACAGACGAAGGAAAGCTCAAAAATTAGGATTCAAACCCAAGTTGACTCAAAGCAAGAAACAACAACAACAAAAAAAAACACTGATCCGGTCAAGTTTCTCATCTTGTTTACACCACCAGTTTAGGGGATGCCTGGGTGGCCCAGTGGTTGAGCATCTGTCTTTGGCTCAGGGTGTGATCCTGGAGTCCAGGGACCAAGTCCCACATCGGACTTCCTGCATGGAGCCTGCTTCTCCCTCTGCCTATGTCTCTGCCTGTCTCTCATGAATGAATAAATAAAATCTTAAAACCAAAAAACCACCAGTTTAAAAAAAAAAAAACGGTTTACTGGGAGTGGGTGAGGGGGAAGATACCAACCTAATTCACAACATGACAATTCTGTAAGACAAATGCCCTGTTGCTTCAACAAAATGACTCACCAAAAAAAAAAAAAAAAAAAAAGCATTACATAGAACTGCTAAGTTTTAAGAAAGTTCTAAATAAGATTGCATGGATCCTTATTTGGATATTTAAATGGACCAAGTATAAAAAGACATTTGAGACACTCAAGGAAATTATAATACAAATTTAAGTAAATCCTAAGAATAATTTTCATATTGTAACAATGGTATTGTACTTTCATTATAATTATTTAGACGTTTTCTGTTAAAAGTTTAGAGCAGTTCTCAACCAGCACAAATGTGTCCCCCAAGCAATATTTTGCAATATCTGGAGAGGTTTTAGGCTGTCACAAAGGAGGAGTGTAGTGCTACCATGTAGGAGGAGCCCCCATCTACAGGGTGGAGACTGGCAATGGGGCCACACATCGAACAGTGCACAGCACGGAATTCAAAGAGCAAGACTTACCAGGCCCCAAATCCTAGTAGCTCAGATACTAAAGCAATACACTTGATTATTGGAGATAAAATATAGGAGATAGGCGTTAAATTATTTCAGGAAAAACGAAGTTGGGAAATTAAGAATGACAAGTGACGCTGGATGATGGGACACGACAATACTACTTACTCTATGTGCCACAATGGAACTAAAGTGACCTACCATAGTATGTCAGTGTGGTACTTCTACTTTCATGTATGTTTGAAAAGAAAGACAAAGTTTACAAACAAAACAGGATGATCTCCGACACCAGGCAGGTCCTCCCATTCATCCTTCCCACAAATACTGATTCAGCCCCTCAGGAATCAGGATCCATCCCAGCGCCCATGAGGCATGAGGGGAGCGGGTGCTTCCATCACACCACATACACCACACCAGTGAGGACTGGGAAGCAGAACAGGGGAGGAGAGAGAGGAAATGCTGCTCATCCCTTCATCACCACCACCCAACCCTGTCCCTTGGTCCCTGGCTCTCTTTCCACTGCTCCCTGGGCAATCCTATCCAGCTGACACCAAAATTAGGATCAGTGTGTTGATGACATCTGTTTCTATCAGAAACGTTTCCCTCGTGCCTGGAATGCAGCTCCGTCCTCACTGCTTCACACATCTCTAATGAGGTGTCTCAGGACCTCAGACTGACAGCCCACACTCTTCCCCAACACTGACCCCCCACCCCCAAACCAGCTCATCTCCCTTGCTTCTCACCTGCCATCTCCACCCAGCTGCCAAAGCCCAAGAATCTGAGCATCTTGACTCCTCTTCCCCCTCCCAAATCAACCACCAGGATCTGGGTGTTTACAGGTAACATGTCTTTCAAATCCATGGACTGACTTCTCTCCATCCTCCTGCTGCTACTTTCCATCAAGTCACCATCTTCCAACCAAGTGACCATAAGCTGTTAGTTCCCAAAGTTCCAGGTCATACCACCACCACCTCTGCCCCCCTCTGAATTCCCTGCCTGCAGAACCCAGCTCTGTAGGACTGGAGTAAGTACCTCCCTGTAATCCCTGTCCACGCCTACTTGATTATGAGGAACTCTATGTGCGAGGCAACAGACCACATTCCTGAACTTTCAAAGGCTTCCTTCTCACTTCAGGAACACCCAAAATTCTTCCAGGACCCACACAGGCCTACAAGATCTGCCACACTAGGCCCCAGCTCCCAACCTCAGAACTCATCTCCCACTGCTCTCTGCTTAGACTATGCCAGCCTTGTCTCCGTCCCCAAACACACCAGGCTCATAACCCAGGAGATCTATGTTCATTGGGTTCCCTGCTCAGGACCCTAGCACCTGGGATAACCTGGTATCACTTGGGCCTGGTTAATATCAACTCTTAACCTTGACTAAGAGGTGTCTGTTCCTGTCCAAGAACAGCATCCAGAGCAGAGCAATTCTACTCCCTTTCCAGCTACTATCACACATGTTGTCTTTGACAAGGCTGGCCCCAGGACTTGTCCTGCTTGAAGGCCTGAATCACTAGGTGAGCGGCTAGGGAAAGCTAAGTCACCCACTCTTCGCTGCCTCTCAAGAAGGGTTCAAGGTGCTGACACCTAGCATAGTGCCAGAAGTGACAGGACCTAGTGGGCTGTGGAATCAGACCATGTGGCCTGCATCCTCTGAGCAAGGGCTAAGAGAGCTGCCATGAGAGTTCATGTTGCAAAGGTTAATTTAAGCTCAGGGAGTACCTGGCACCCAGAAGACTCAAGTGGGTTTGCTGTTCTGTTTTTAGCACTTTTCTCCCCACTTACAGACAAGACCAAACCACATATGTAAGATCACATGACAAAGCCAAGCTGTGAAGCACAGCTGCAAGACCACACTCCTGGGGGACCCTATACCCATGTGAGTCATAGCTCTGGTGTGTACCTATGCACACGCACACATGCACACCTTTCCACAGCCGGGCACCTCGACGCCATCCACAGGCCGGGGGATCTCAATGGACTTGACAAGCCCATATTTGCTGCACTCATCTCGCACATCCTCCACAATCTCCTCATACTCCTCGTCGTCCAGCAGCTCCTCGGGCAACACCATGTTCATGAGGCACAGGACCTCCGTTGGGTGGCCGCCCATCTGTACCTGGGAACTCATGAGGCCCGGCACTTGCAGGGTCACGGGGGTCTGGTTGATGGTGCTCTGTGGGGAGAAGGGGGGAGGGCAGGGCTGTCACGGCCAGGGCCACACCGAACCCCCAGAGGCCTACCCAGAGAATCACGTCCGCCCCTGAAGGCCCAGGAAAGCCAGGGCTGGAGCCGAAGCTTCTGAGGATCTGCTCCCAGCATCCCCAGGCCGCCCCGCCCCGCCCCTCCCCAGTATCCCTCTAGCCAATGGAAGATGACGTGCCGGGGGGCTCACCAGCGTGGCATTCTTGGCTCCCACACTTGCCCTCTGCACGAGCAATTTCTTATCTCCCAGCTGCATCCCATTCAGCCCCGCAATAGCCTGTGTGCGGAGGACAAGGGTGGGGGGGCGCAGCAGAAAGGTGCGGGTCAGGGGCAGGACTTGACACCTCCCACCAAGACCCAATACCCCAGAGCTGGGCACTGGTGGTGAGAGGAAAGGCCAAAGAGTGAGCACCTGGCAGGAGCCGGAACCAAGGGGAAGGGGCCCAGTCCCCCACATAGGACCCTACCCAAGCTGGCCTCCTCCC